TGTTATGCAATTAAATTCTTTGCTTGTAACTATCCTCAAGGGGTTAAACATTTTTATTCGATATTAATAATTTGAATAATTACTAGCTATTTTCAATTTTAACTTTTTATGAATGTAATTAACATTTTCGTGACAGACGATAATCAGACGAAGTGTTTAGCTGAATGCAACATATCATTTTCAAACATCTGTAGCTGACATGGGAAGATGTCGAACCCGGAAATTTAAAAAATTATGAAACTATAATAAAATTTTTTAAGAAGGGTTGATAGTGGGGGTATATTGAAAAATTTAAACTTGTTGAGAAATTTTATTTTGCAATTTTATAAACGTGAAAGGACAGTGTATTTTTGTTTACACTTTCTTTTATTGTCTCTTACCATTCTCAAGATGTTCGAGAAGAAAGAAAAATTTGTACTTTTTCCAAGGGGTAGTTTCACCCCTTCACAGTGAAATTCAGCACGAAAAAAATTGCAATGTATTAGACATGACTTACTCTATTTACACACAAAGTTTCATAATTTATATATAACTTGTAACCATTTGTTGTTCAAAGTTTTAAAAAGTTAAATATTACGAACGAGTATAGAAAAAATATTTTTTTCCAATGAAATGAATACGATGAATTTACAGGTACATAAAATTTACAATAACTTATAATGACATTTTTACATATTTATTTCATACAACAGTTTGTATAGTATTTATTAAGAACTTGAAATATAAAATATATTTCTAAAAGAAAACATAACAACAGTTTAATTATTTTAATAATATAAATCAATATTTAGTAATATTTTTTTTTAGTAAGATATTTGATAAAATAATTGTTCTTACATCACGATACCTGAGATAATTTGCATATGAATGTAGTGTCTCTACGTTTACCATTCTTTGGACATATTTTACACAGTCTTTGTAAGGAATGACGCCTATTTTGGAACGACGTAGGACTACGTGTTAAGAAAAGTAGAATTACAATAGAAAATGGTTATCCTCAAACAATATTATAAAAACCGCTACACCTTAGATATCTTATTAAGTTGTTCGTATCGTATATATTCTGTGGAATTTTTAATTTTCAAATTTCTTTCTTAATTCTCAATTAATTTAATAATTAAGTTAATTCTTTAAAGTTCCGAATTTAAGAAAATAAATGAGATCGGTGTTGCAATGAAATTTTATTTTTATCAAATTTGACGAAATAGGTTTATTTTAATTATCTGAAAAGTAGAATTACTTCAAATTTAGTAAAAGGAAAGATTATTTAAATATTTGATTATAAGGCAGGACATAAACAGTCTTTTTTGGTATTTAATTTTTCAATTGGTATACAACATATCTCACTATGCATATGTAAGTATTAAAAAATTGACACAATTAAATGGACGTCTAGAAGAAAAGCCTACGTTATAAATTTAACAAAAATTTATTTTTTATGAGAAAAGAACAGAATATGGTGTAAAGAACATTTCTTAACATTTTGTTTCTTATCCTTTTGCATTCAAGAGGCGACTCTCAGTCGTCATTTGATTAAACGTGGAAAATTATGAAATTTTAATTTCAATATTAAATTACATATAATGTATCAACAAATGAAATAAAATAATTCTATTCCTTAATGTATACAAGATTTTTGTTCGTGTTAGTTTGCAACAGAAATCATCGATTTCATCAGAAAATAATGAATATTTATAGGGGAAAATATTACCAAGAGCAAGCGGTTAATTATAATTCTATCTGTCAGAAATTACACATAAAGGCAGAGTGAACATTGACAATCAAATAAAACAATGGACTATATTTCTAATTTCAGTCGACATACCAGAACTTAATAATTCACCGATTCTATACAAAAAATTAATTTTCTATTAGCAGAGAGGAAGAAAGAGTTGCTTAAATTGTGTATTTTTTAAAAGTAATGAACTATTTTTTAATTATTGAAGTATAATTTTCATTTTTTAATTTGGAATAAGAGCACATGTTGCATCAGCCATCTGTGCAGTCGTTACAGAATGCGCTAATTTGTTTTTCCGTTGTCCTCTAGAATGTATGATATGTAACGTAGGCCCTTATTCTAGGCACCCATTCAATTAACTCTTTGCACTCGAGTGATGAGTTCAAACCATTTGATTCGAGGCAACTAAATTAATTCCTATATCAAAGTTTGTATAATGCATTATCAACTGAATAACTGAAATTTATCCTGTAGTATACAATTTAAATAGTAATTTTCCTTTTGTATATAGTCGTCAGTAATAGCAGTCATCAATAATCCTACTGATAATATTGAAGGATAACATTATTGTGACATAACGTCTAACCCAATGTCAAGAAATTATATTATTCGCAATCTTTTCTACAAATAGACAAGCGGATACTGGGACTAGTATTTCAAAACTGCTTGGGCACGATTACAATATGTAAGGCGACTGATATCGAATAAAAAGATGTAATAGCATAAGTAGTTAGATAATAGTATAATTTAAGAATTGCAACACCAAGTAATTAATAATCAAGTAACTTAGAATAATAGTCTAACTCTCATTTGTGAATCCTTGAGAAGAGAAAGCTTTTCAGAAATGTTTCTGAATTAATTGCGTACTAATATTACAATTATTAATATTAGTAATTAATATTATTAATAACATTGTAAATTGAAATGTTGTAATTTGAAATATTATAAATTGCAATAGTGCAAATTATAATGTTGTAAATTGAATCATCGTAAATTGTGATATTGTAAATTGCAATTGTGCAAATTATAATGTTGTAAATTGAAATATTGTTAATTATATCGTTGTAAATTAAAACATTACAAAGTCTAACATCATAACCAACAGCATTAGAATTCCAAAAATCAGCAACCGACAACAATCAATCCTATCAACGACAATCGCAACATTAACACTCAATGAATCCACAAACAAGAACACACGAATCCCCAAGAAAACCATAAACGTCACTCGAACAAATCCCACCAACATTCAACACAACATCGCGAAAGGCATCACGCCGCTCAAACTGGATCGTTTTTTCTCCCTACGAACGCGGAAATCTTTTTCCTGTCGGAATGCTCCGGCGATTGTTCACGGCCGGCCGCGAACCTGCCCACCGCGGAGGATCCGTCGTCGTGTCAAGGTCAGTAGCGACGGGCAGCGGACTTTTACAGTGTGAACCGATATACTTTATCGAGTTCACGTACTCAGTCGTTGGAGAACCGACAGAGAGTATCGTACGAGGCACCGAATCTCTCTCGGTAGGGGTAAAGAAAAAAGATCAGTGGAAGCAGAAGACGAAGAGGACAATAACGACGACGAAGAAGAACAAGTAGACGCAGAGGAAGAAGAAGGAGAAGAAGACGAAGAAGAAGGAGAAGAGGAAGGAGAAGAAGAAGAAGACGACCACAAAACTCCAACAGCCGAGATCAGAGTGAGTGACACAGAAAAAGAGAGGAAAAGCGAGTGCAAGAGAAAGGGCGAGCCCGCTCGTTAGAGGAGAGGGGTGATAGCTTAATCAGACGAGGTCCGACTCTCTGCAAGCCTTCGAGTGGCACGGCGGTCGAGCAGTGGTGCAGCAGCGTGCGTGCAACCGTCCGAGGTGGGACCGCCGCTTCTCGAAAGGAATTCCCCGAATCGGGAGGATCTTCAACTGGTCAAAGGGAGCCGGGCCGAGCGGCGATTCAGCCGCGCAGACCATCGACACACGTGCCCCGACAGGACGCCAGTATGGAAACATAGATCCTCGAGCAACGATCCAACGGTCTCTCCGATCGAGTAACGCAATTCGAAGGGACTCGAGGAAACTGCCATTGAAAAGACGGATTTCGAGCGGGATCACGGTGAACGGCGTCGAAGAGAGAAAACGGACACGGCATGTAGGTACCACTGCGAGATCACTTGATGGCTAGGCTGAAGAATTCGGTTGACTGACCAGTGCTCATTCTTTCCAGCCAATTTTCTCTTGGTTTTTCTAATTCCTGGTGTTTTCGATTGCTAATTTGCTGTTCGTTGATGTGGTTACGTGTAACCAATTGAAAGTGTAAAACTGTGAACTAGGAAGACCCTGTGATGGTCTGCTAGACGTCAAGTCATCATCCAACTGTACTGCTACGGGATCACTTCGACGGGTAGGCTGAGGAATTCGGCTAATTGATTAGTGTTCGTTTTTCCTACCTTGATTTTCTGTCGTATCTACTGATTTCTGATATCTTCGATTGCTAGTTTACTGTTCGTCAATAGGAATACGGGTAATCAATCGAAACTATGAGGCTGTAAAATAGGACATCTCTTGCCCCTGTTACGTTCAGCTAGACATTAAGTCATCTTCCAACTGTAGGTACTATGCAGAGATGGCAAGAAGTTTCGTGAGACAGCATGAAGCAAAAAGGGTATTTTATTGTGTGCTTTGTCTATTCTTACTATCTCGTCATCGGATTAGTGTGTGCGTCTGAACTTATGGACGAATAACATATTAGTGCCAAAAATGTGAAAAGGAACGTGCCTTCTGCTTTGGTCAATTAGCCCCACATTTCTTTCACGTGATTTTTTTGAAACTTCGGATGGTATGTGTCACGAATGCGAGACAAGTGCAATTCGGTGGGACACTTTCGACCACTGGTGGCAGCTCGTTGCGGTGAGGACCGGAGATTGTGGGGTGTTCGGTGGTCTACGCGTGTCCATCGGATTTTCCGTTGGACGTGCCGATGCTCGGAACGCGTGAAACACGCCGACCGCGGCCGTCGGTGGCGGGGTTAAACGAGCCATCGTGAGAGATCTCCGAGGTCAATCTCGTTCGGTGTCGCTTAACAAAATTACTTGAGCCGTAATCCACACAAGACAAAGGAAGACACTCGCGGTGGGAGGGGGAGAGTGTTATGCAACGTTTGTATCGTCGGTTTAAACAATCCGTGTTTTCCTGGCATCGATTCCGTAATTTTGATTGAACCGAAGGTTTCACTTGGAACGAATATTCTAAGTAGCGTTGTGAAAAGTTAGTGGATTGATCTTAAAGGCTGAGCACTGAAAGCTTAGGGGCCTGTAAAGATTGGATTTTGGAAGCTTAGAGGTCTATGAAGCTTGAGTCTTCAAAGCTTAGAGGTTTATCAAATCTGAGCCCTCAAAAGCTTAGAAGTCTGTAAAGTTTGAGTTTTGAAAGCTTAGGGATCTATAAAGATTGACTTTTGAAAATTCAGAGATCCGTAATGCTTGGATCTTGAAAACTTAGAGATTTGAAAAGATTGTGTTTTGGAAGCTTGAGTCGTGAAGGGTTAGAGGTTTATAAAGCTTTAACTTAGAAAACTTAGTGGTCTATAAAGCCCGAAAATTTAGAAGTTTATAAAGTTTGAGTCTTCGGAGCTTTAAGGCTCAACCTTAAAGACTGAGTCTTCAAAGCTCATGATTCAACTTTAAAACTTTGAAGGCTCGACCTAAGCTTTCAAGAAGGTAACAAACTACAAGATTCTACTAAAAAGTTAATGTTTTTTACCAAGAAACAAGAATTCTTCCTTTAATTTCAAATGCCTTGAACGCTGAACTTCCAATCATCAATTTATTAATTTCATAGTCTTAGTCTTTACGATGTTAATACAGCAATAGACGGCTCGAGTTACAGACATCAACTTGTACGGCTCTAGCGTCTAACACTTTATCTACCGCTCGTGATCAACCATTCACGAACGACCGATACAGTTTTGCTATCGCGTAAAACTTTATAACTTAAAAATCAAGATACCAGTGAATCTCAGTAGGTCATCTTTTGTTTTAAACCAGCCTAATTTTAATAAGTCACCGACTCTAATCCAGCTTTCGCAATCGAAAAGCCGATTGATATGCTTCCGGTAGATAGAGTGTTAAGGCTAAAAGCTCTTAAGCAACGGCTAAAGCTTTTAATGCTCACGGCTCAGGACTCATTTTCGCAACACCAGTTCCAAACATTGGCTAACTCCAACCGACATTGTTTTCAATTTTTCCTTTTTCATTTTGTTTTCATTGAGAAATGATTCGATGCCCAGCAACAGAGGTCTTTCGCCGATCATTTTATTTATAGTTTCGATTGGTTATGCGTAAAAGCATTGACAAACAGAAAATTAGTATCGAAAATGAGATAAGAAAAGATAAAAACTGACTGATCAGACCATCGTTCCTCAGTCTCGCTGTCAATCGAGCTCCCAACTTTACGCAAAACATCACAGCAATCCTCTTTTTTAGCTCGATAAGGAGCAATGGCCACGCAATCCGACATTCCCTACCCGGAAATGAACAATTCCGTGGACAGAAGGTACGTGTGCGTGCTTCGTGCACAGCTGAAATTCAATTCCAATAAAAAGCCGGAGCTGCTTTAGGGGCAGCCGGTTTTCCCCTTTTCCGTGTGTGCTCCTATGTTTCCATCGAATGTTCAAGCAACCGGACGCGCAGCATCGTGACTCTGAATGCCAGCTGTTTCAGAAAGACGGGGAGTCTCAGCAGTCTGCTGGCCCGATTCCTCTCGATTTACTGGAGATCGTTCGTGATCGTACTATGGCCGCTGATTCTATTGCCAGTCATCTTCGTCGTAAACACCACCGAGGTTCGTGGACAATGAACGGTTTATACTCTTGCGGTATCTCTTCTCTTGATCAATATGCGCTTCCCAGCGTTTATTATTTTCTTCTCTGCCTTTATCCCTTACTTTTTACTTCCTCGGTTCGAGGAGAAACACGAAAAACAACCATCTCGATCTCGATTCGACGCAGGTGATAGCGATGCGATGCCTTTACGTCGTCAGCTTGATGGCGATGTTCTGGATGACCGAGGTACTACCTTTGCCGATCACCGGACTGATCCCCGTTGTCCTCTATCCGCTGATGGGCATAATGAGCACCAGCGACACTTGCGCCTGCTATATGAACGACACGACGATGATGTTTATCGGTAGCATGGTGATAGCGGTGGTGATCGAGAACTCCGGCCTCCACATGCGCGTGGCGTTGTTGATCATCAAGACGATCGGGTGCAGTCATCGAAGGTGAGTCTCGCCGCTGTCCTCTCTAAAGGCAACAATCTCCGAGGGCGTTATCGGAGGTCATTTCCTACCAAAATGACATGCATAATGTACATCATACGTAGATATATGCATACACATGCACCTGCATACGCATACCCATACGCATACGCATACGCACACGCACACACACAACCTGCATACAACTCGCAGATTAACGCTGGGCCTATTCTTCGTGACCATGTTCCTGTCCATGTGGATCTCGAACACCGCAGCTACCGCGATGATGTTACCAATCATCGAGACCGTTCTCCTTGAAATCGAAGCGGTAAGTCGACAGACTGGCTGAAGAAGATTGTTCTTATTGAAACTTTGTGCTCGTGTTCTAGCAAGGCTTGGGTAGCATGTTCGTGCAGGATGACAGCGACTGCGGTGGTGAGGACGGAGCAGCCGAAGAGTCGTACGTACCCGTAACTTTGTAGTTTAGACTATGATTCCGAAGTGAATAGTTTCGGAATGATTCTCTTTATATTTGCAGGCAGAAGAAACCAACGCGCACCACCATGGTTTATTATCTGGTGGCAGCATACGCTTCTAGTCTTGGCGGTATTGGCACGTTAGTCGGTACTGGCACCAATTTAACGTTGAAAGGATTCTTTGAGAAGTAAGACACGTTTACCTGTCGTTCGCTCTGTTTCTATAGGTTTATCGAAATAAAGAACGAGCCAGCGTTGCTGAAGAACAAGCATGTGCGTTTGCCTGTCTGGACTTTCAACGCGTGGTTTTAATTCCAGACGCTTCCCGAACAGTCCTGGCATCAGTCTAACTTCGTGGATGCTTTACTCGGTTCCTCCCATGCTTATAATGGGACTCCTGACGTGGCTGTGGCTTCAAGTGATGTATATGGGAATGTTCCGGCCAGACAGTAAGGATGCGAGTGCCATTGATATAGGTCCACACGGGGAAAAAGTTGCTGCTACCGTGATCGAAAACAAGTACAAGGAACTTGGACCGATCACATGGCACGAATCGTGCGTCGGCATCCTTTTTATCACGGTTGTCCTACTTTGGTTCTTCAGGAGTCCTGGATTCGCTCCTGGTTGGCCAACTTACATCACCAATTTGTACGTAATATGTAGCAATTGATATACTCGGCGGAGAGAAAGAGGAACATCCTGTATTCTTTCAGGCAAGTGAAAGATTCAACGGCGGCCACTTTCGTTACCCTTCTGTTCTTTGTGTTGCCGTCTAAGCTTGATTTCTTGCGATCGTTCGACGCGGATCCTGCTAAACGACCTAGCAAACCATCACCTGGCATGATCACCTGGAAAATGATACATCAGAAGATGCACTGGAGCTTGATCTTGGTATTAGGCGGCGGTTTCGCCATCTCGGCCGGCAGTACTACTTCGAACCTCTCTTCCATTCTAGGGCACGCTCTGATCGCTTTGCAATCGATCGATCCCGTCGTTATATTGTTCATCGTCTGCTTGTTCGCGGAAACTGTAACTGAGCTGACATCTAACGTTGCCGTTGCCAACATTATTCTACCAGTATTGGCCGAAATGGTAAGCAACATCAATTTCATTATTTTTTCTTATGTGGACTGATTTCTTAATAAAAGTGGTTGTTTCAGAGCATTGCTATGAGAATACATCCTTTGTACTTGATGCTGCCGGCCACCCTTTGTTGTTCCTTTTCATTTCACCTACCCGTAGGAACACCCCCAAATGCAATCGTCACTGCTGCGGCCCATATAAAAACCAAGGATTTTGCAATAGCCGGAATAGGGCCAAGTATCATCACACTTTTTGTTACAACAATTGCATTTTCCACTTGGGGCACTTATGTTTTTAATTTATCTGAGTTCCCTGATTGGGCGACTTAAACATTTTTTTTTCTATAGTAAAACATCTATCCTACATGTTTGCCTTGTGATAATCGAACCACTCCTAAGCTGTGTCCGATTCGATGTGCAATAGAATATGCGTTACATTTCTTTTGCGTCACTTTGCAACAACACTTATCAGTTTATCAAACATTCAATGCCGTAACAGATAACACATCTTATTTTCGGTTAATATAAATGAACTAATGCTTCCTTTTCCAGTATTATTGTTAGAGATTATTTTTAAAAGCAATCATAGTTGATCATAGTCTACATCGTGTTAAATATGTATACATTATACAAAATTAAGTTATTAGAAAAATGAAAGAAAGAGAAAGAAATTGGAGATAAGAAGAAGGAAAACAATAAAGTGGCTTACCATCTATAGGTGTGTCATAATTTGTGGAGGTATTCACTTCTTTTCCCATATTTTTGGTTCACAGTACTCCAAACTAGTTGAACAATTCACTATCTGGTCATCCACGACGTGTCAACCTTTATCTTCTTATATTATAACATCAAAATAAACGTATTCAAAAGGCGGGAACATAACCTATAATATCCACCGGAACGAAATATTCTTTATCAGAAAACATACTAGCGGTTTTGAAGTAAAATTTCTCAATTATTAAGAAATTATTATTTAACAGTCATTTAAAAATACCTGATTTACTGTAACCTCAACCAAAATGTTCAGGAACGTGTGTGATTCATTCTAATCCTCTGCCACCTACGCTATGCAATCAATTTCACTGATACCGGCTATTTATTCAATTCGTTTTCGAGTTTAATGGAAGACGTTGAATTTTTCAAAAACTAATACGTCCACAAAAAAATAACTGTCCATCACTATTTTTTAATAACTTGTCCTAATATCTTTAACACTCTTTAATCAACATTCTGAAATCTGTCTACAGATCTGAAATACCGACGCTATCAAAAATACTCCTAGCGGTCAATTATTGAAACACAGAAGATTCTAATTGAAAGTGTTTTTGGAGATTAAATTTTTATGCTATTGTATGCTTAAGAAAATATAATCACGTCGTGCCTAAATAGTTAAATTCAAAAGAAAATCAGTGAGATTAAAAAATAAAAAGATCAATTCTTCTTTCTTTATTTAACCTACTTCTATAAATGATTAAAATTCAAAGACTAGATTATAATTGAAATCAATGCATGATACATGAAATATTTCATGAAATAATTATATACACATTCATTAACATATTCAGCAGGAAATGCTACCTTATTTTACATTGATATAGTATAAATACATCCAAATGAACAAATAAAAGTAAATGGAAACAGAAAACAAATTAATCTGCATGTTTTTATCCAAATATAAATTTTTGTAATTATTTGGGTTAAAGGATACCACGATGATCAGTTTGACCTTCACATATGTTTTTAAAGATACGATTCTAAATAGCTTTTTCTAATAATTAAATTGGCAACATCCTATAGTTTTTGAAATATGTATTTGTAAAAGCATTTCGATATTTTGATAATATGTACAAAAAAATACATAAATACACCCTACCGATTGCAGTGACTTTGAAATACACAACTGTCACTTAGCCATAGTTTCAGAAATATACATAAAAATATATTTGATATAACATACCTTATTTGAAAAAACTCGTGTTTACAGCCGACAACCGTTTATTATAAATAATTGATAATAAATTTCAAGATCATTGAAATTAATAAAATATATCTTTTTGCAAATAATTATTACATTAGCCCAAACACAAGTAGCATTGGGTCTATGTAAAAAAAATGTCAAACTTTTTTCACGAATATCCCAAAAACTGTAAAAGATCGATAACATTGAGTTACTAAATTTATGTTCCATGTATTTATATTTTAAATCGTATAATTTGTAATATACGAATATCCACTTATGTAACAGATTGGTTTTATTAATTTGCAAAACAGAAATATTCAATTTTTTAAAACAATATCGTGATAATAATTACGATTTTTTTCTAGTAATAAAATTTCATCAATTAATCTTATGTTTTAATAGAAGCTAAAATTTTAAAAATATGTACTACGTAAACATAAACTAACAGAAATTTATTTAAAAAATGAGGAAAAATAAAAAAATGTACGTATATTTTCACATATCACGTACAATTCATACTGGCATTCTCACATAGAACTGGAACATTGTTTTAAAGCGTAAAACGAATAAATAACAAATGCTTTTAGGTATATACTTATGTCGAATAATTATTGAGGAACAATTAAATTGATAGAAAAATTTATGAAGAGAAATTAATGAAAATATTTATAGATATAACAATATGAATGATTATACGTGTAGAGTAAATTGTAAAGTAAATATACATTTCAAAGTATTTATGCTCATAAATGAATAAAAACTGCATTTTTGTAGTATTATGTTAAATAAACACGATTTTCATCGCTTGAATGTACATACATACTTACGTATCATACTGATAATTGTAAATCGTACTACTATTCACAGTAGAAATAAAATATATAGGATACTCAATTTTTACTAACAAGCCTAAATTCTTAAATTATCGGTAATGTCGTGCACGACATTAAAATGGTACGGGAGTCTCAAGGCCTCTGAGACTGGCAATTAATCGAGAGATACCACACACATATTATTTGTTTGGTACCTTGCTTGTATAATCTAATTCAAATAAGAGATTAGTATTTAGAACTGTACACATTGTACAAAGACAACATTATTCAATTTATAAAAATAAATAGAGGAAACACAATAATTAATACCTTTTGAAAGAGTCAGAGAGTGAAAATATTACACGATAAATAAAAATGATTTATTAAATAGTTATAAAAATATGTGTTATAGGAATTATGTTTGGGATACTCTTGATACAGATTGTAATAAACAATTTGACAATAGTCATGTAGACTTTTGCTAATATTTAAATATAGTATAAACATTGTATATATTACATATGCTGTGCGAATTTACTATGTTATAAAATTAATCATTTTTAAAATTGTAATTATTATTAAAAGTAGAGTTTGGATTTTTATGCATTTATGGGAAATTTGAAAAATATATAAAATATTTAAAGTACAATGTTCTTCATAATATTTATTAGGAAAAATCTTTTTCTGCCATAATTCTATTTTTCTAATTATGTTCTGTAGTCTAGTAATTAGAAATAATTAATGGAAAATAATTTTTGAAGAAACTATAATGAATTGTAACTATTAAACTACATACTCGATCGTAATTTGTATAGATTTTTAATTGTTAATAAGTTTGTAAATATTAATTTACCGTTCGTGAAACGCTATAAAGTATCGAAGTATCGCTGAATGGCGTTTACATGGTAACAAATTTCTAATGTAAGAATCACATAGAAGTACAAGCTGCATAAGATTTACGCTCATTACTTTATTCAATAAAAAATTCAATTAATGAATTAAATACATTTTATTAGGTAAATAATTCATTGCATATAATACATTATAAAATCTTGCATACCACTAACAAACAGTATATACATATACAGTAGTTAAAATGTATAATATTTATTAATTGTGAAAATCGATCTAAATAAATGACAAGACAAAAAAGGAACTGACTTGAACAGGGATGTTATAGAACATTAAGACTGGGTTTAATACATGATATGTTTAAAATGAGAAATGTATAAAAAGAGTATCTTGCATATTTACAGTTAACTTAAACGTAATACTGCGATTAGAGAAATTGGCACAGTCCTAACGTGAGAATCACGATGCTGCTTACAGTCAGTAGAAGGCAAAGATATCTACCTGTGATTGGTACTCTGAAAAGTCTAGCACACATCTTTAACGACGATGTGTACAGAAGTATGGTATCCAGATCTTCACCCGGCGTGCATTGATAAACAAATGGTCGAACACGCACTTCGTGACCAATATTTTGTATCATCGAACAAGCAGTAGTTAAACGAGCTGCCTAGTAAAAAATAAACCAATAACTTCGTACTTACTCTTAGTATCTTTTGAGTAGGAATTTTCGTGGCAATTAATAAAAGATGTTTAGATTTATTTACATAATTCTTGCTAATTTTATTCTACTAAAATATATACCTGAATAAATGGAGCTATCGATATTAAAATCCATAAAATAACATTCAGTATTCCGACCCAAGTGACAGAATTACGTTGCGGGTCGCTATTATCATATTGAAGCAACCATATTGTTCCCGCTGCAGCCCACGATAAATTCACAACGGTATATATGCATACAGCTGGGCCTAATTCGTCATTAAAATATTTCAACAATTTTTTGAACTCACAAATTTCCTGCAACATATAAGAATGTTCGTATAACTTTGATCTTAAGTAAACAGCAAACGTTGAAAATTTATGCAAAAACGAATTTTAACAAACCCGCATCCAATCAATGGGTGCTAAAGTATGATGAAGTAATTTCCCGCGAAGGAAGTACAGATGCGCCAATAAAAGTTGTCCTTGCAAACAGTAACTGGTTATAATCGTTCCTTGCACCATATCGTGCCACAACGTGCATACGATTAAAAATACCTTCAACGTTATTTTTACTTGATACGGGCTGTGCAAAAAAATAAATTTGAATGGAATGTTAAATGATACAACGTGTATACGCGATACAATAAAACATATTGAAATAAAGAAACGAACGCGATAATTTGATAACAGAAGGAAAACAATTTTGACGTCAACATAAAATGTAAGAGATTTGTGTGCAGCCTACGTTGAGTAAGCGCATAAGTTACCTGTGCTCCAACCACTGGAATACAATAACTCCTCGGGCCATTAGAACGTTTACTGTAAGTAGTGCCGTAATTATCCACACCACGCTTAATGCTATGAATAACCATAGTATTCGCACGAGTCTCCGTTGATTTCCACGATTCACAGGATTAGAGGAGAGAAGAAACGCTCTCTCCATTAAATTTTGTAGCTGCTCGTTCTCTTTAATTCGAAACAGGTAGACGGTATACAAGTATGCTATTAAGTGTAATATACTCGGAACGAAATAGCTGAACACAACATTGCCAAAGCAACCAATCTGTGGTACTTCATCTTCGCTTGTATTTGATGGAAGTTCAGCTTCTAATGGTGACGATTTATAACAAAAACCACGGTCTCTTCTGAAAGTGTAAATATATTATACTTGATTAGAATTACATTAAATTAGAAGTAACTCGAGCATCGCTAGCTGCATCTCACCTAAAGCATGCCATGAACTGTAAAATATATCCAATGCACATAAATATTGTTACTTGAAAGGTATGGAGATTCACAAGAATGCAATAACGTGAATAACGTTCGGAATCATCAGTACTCATTGGTCTCAATCCCATAACGCCTAATAACCTTAGATACGGCCTCAGTATCTTATGTTTGCAGTAATGGAGTACTGCCGATGTGCTCAGCATCTCGAAATCTGGCATTTCCGTGATTTCACCTACCTGTAATTTTAATAAAAATAATCTTTAACTACCTCACTACCATTAGTTGTGAAAATACGTGCTCCTACTTCTGTGCTTTGCATTTGCAGGTCTGATAATCCGGATGGTGTAGATGCTTGTGTCGTTTCTTCGTGATTTTGTTGAGGAGGATCTTTCCCATTTTTGGATTCATTGTTCGAACTTGCCTATTAAAAGCAACACAGTATAATAGAATAACTTTTCTGTCGTGATTGAAAAGTGTTTTCATTTTTAAAACAGAATTTCTTACTTTAACTACAAGTGTAATTAAAGCGAGTGAATATACGCTATCGGTCATTCGAATTTTAGAATCTATCGCAAATGGAACGACGCGAGCCATCGTGAAATTACCGAAACGCTGAACTTTCTGACAAATTACAATAGTACGGTCGGACCTTCAGAATCAAAATAAACAGTGACGATTAAGACTAAAGTTATCAACATAAAATTTAATTCCAATGAGACACAACTAAATGTCCCGAAAACAGAAATCCGATCTTACGCTATTTCCTATATATGTATATATATAAAATAAATAGTTCGTTAAATGTTTAATAATTAAATAATCGTTAGACTTACCAATGTCATTTTTCTCGACAGACGAGCACAATGCTTTTGAACTTGAAAAGAAAACATTTGTATCGGCACCTTGTGTGTGAATCACCCTAACGTATGAATTTAAATTATATCAGCCTTTTGAGATGACACTTCACCTCTGTCAAGATATACACACACATTGCTCCGAAACGAATTATTTTATTCGTGTTGGAAGCGTCTTCTAACACAGGATATTGGGAAAGTAGAGGAGATGCCGTTTCGTTTTGTTTTCTTTCCTATGCTATGAAATGGGTGAGCAAAGAAGAAATCGTTTTAAAAAACAAGATTATTTACTATTTTAAAAAAAACCAATATGTTAGTACAACAATAAATATCAGCGCTTTTTTCTGTACAAGTTTCCGGCTGGCCTTAAGAGGTGTTTATATTCTTTCTCGTGTCTTTTTACTTGCAGTTTTGCTCGCCCAGATTTTTTCTATGAAAAAAATATATGCATTTATATAAAGAATATATACATATATATAAAATACGATACGAAATATAATGGGTACACGTTAACGTATTTATATAATAAAGAAACGTACCTTTTCCACATGAAAAGTCATTTCTCGGTTACCACGAGCACCAGAAATTTTAACATCGTGAATGTTTTCGTTTCTCAACCTATCTCCCAGGGTAGCTCTATAAAAATATAAATACAAAAGTAATTTATTAACGCCACACGCATGTTTGATAATGTTAATTTTCGGCCAATCATATGATTAGATATACATACTTGTTCTTTTTCTGTGCGATCGGTTTCGCGTCTTTAAATTCTACACCGTCTTTGATTTCATAAAGATGGCTACGACTTTCTGAACTTTCATCGTTATTCGCATTTTCCTCTTTTTCTTCGTTCTCCCTTTCATTCTTCCGTATTAACCGATATTGTTTTTTCACTTCCTTAACCCATCCTCTTTCGTCATCCGAACTACTATCATCATGAATGAAACTTTCATCCGAACTGTGATCTAAAAGTTTCAATACATATTACTAAATATTTGAAATCGACTACGTGGAAAATTCTACCTTGCTCTTTGTCATCAATTTCCATGTTTCGTTGTAACTCTTCCGCGGCCAATTGAGCTTCCAATTTTTTCGCTCTGGTTTTGTCGAGGCGAGAAATAACAGGATTTAACAAGGAATACTCCTCCGAATTTGTATCCACTTGGAAATCAGGATTACTGAACAGTGCTTTGAAACGGTCATCTTTCAAAATATTGGACGCATTCTTCTTTTTCTTTGCGTTTGATTCAGCATCCATTAATTTCAAAGCGAGTTCTTTATTTACACTTGGCATCTTTTGAATCTACAAATAATTGTTCAATATATAATGTATCGTATTGTATAGAATAAATATACAATATACAATGAGCATCGTAAAATGATAAAATATTTTAATACCTGTACTCTGCTGCCACAAGTTTCTTGTATTTTTTGTTGTATTCTTCGTTTCTTATATTCCTCGAATTCGAAAGGCTTCATCACATCTCTCGCTTTCTTGTATAGCCGAATATCGATAAAGTAGCCATGCATATAGGCCCTAAGTAAATTAGTGCCTTTCAAATGCGCTAGGCCTAACTCATCCAATTCCTTTTCGGTAACAAATTTATAGTCATCGTAAATAGTTTCATAATTTAATTCTTCTAACTCTTCCGTCAGATTGTCTAAAAAGCTACACCAATAGGGAGCAGGTCCAAGAGTAGGAATATAATATGTCTGCATTTTTGTATTTTCAGTAGCCATTAGAAGCATTCCAGTGTTTGGTACGACGCATAAATCGTTGAAATCATTTTGTGCCTCAATCGATGTATATAATTTGCCCTAATTATAAGCAAATTCCAGTTGCTATTATTTATTTCAATTGTGCATCAATATGTAGAGAAAATTAACTTAATTTAAATTATATCTACTTACGCTATCTTTTTCCCATATTTTAACAATAGAACTGTCCATAGAGTAAACCATATCCATTGTCTGATGGAATTCTATATTCTTGATTGGTAATCCATACATATGATCCTTTGTTAAAAAGGGTTTACTTGAGCGAATATCATATAATAATACTTGTCCAGTCGATGTGCCAACTCCTAATGTTAATCCTCCTTGAAACTTTAAACTAGTAACAGCAGGAACCGCTTCTACTCTGTATAACAGCAACAAAACTGATGTAATTACAAAAAACTGAAATGTCTATTTGATTATTTGATAGTCAATAATAAACTGTCATACTTATTGTTTTGACCAACACAGTACAAAGCACAGTCCAGTGTACCCACTTTGTTTCTTACTCGTGGATCCCATGCTTCAATTTTCCCTTCTTGAGTTCCAATAGTAATAAGTTGATGTACTGGATTTATTTCACATTTATTTATTGACGATGCATCTGTCACGAAGGACTGTAGAAATTGTCCTCTTTCAAGATTTATTCGATAGATCTCATTACTGTAAAAGAATATGTTCTTAGAAAGGGATGTTTTAACACTAAATATACCAGCACTTTGTACATATCTATTCCCATTATAACCAATCAAATATCTAGTTACAAAATAAAAGTAAACAAGTTGGATGATATACGTTTCTTAATGGTAATAGGAACAGAAGGAAAGGCGAAAATTGAAAAACTGATTAATTAGACAATATAGGAATTGATATGAAGTTAATTGAATGAAAGAAAACACAGAATTTTAAATTAAATTTTAAAACTGGTCATTTGACTGGTTGCAGTACGTTTAGTTGTAAGAAAGTATTGTTACGAATAGTATTTATAATTGAAAATATTACAAGGACAAACCTATCTCCGACCACAAAAAGATCGCACAGGGGATAATGATATTTGATATCCCTTCCAAAACGTGGTACTCTTAGCCTATAATATCTCCCATGGGCAACATGAAATTCAATAGTTCGATCACAGTGTAAAAATACCATCTGAATTATAATACAAAATATGAATTGTTATAATTATAAAGATACAGATTCATAGAAAATGTGTAAATAAATACCTTGCTATAGTCGTCAGAAAGTATATCGAAAGTTACAACCTCAGCATCGAAACATCTTTCAAATTTTAGTGATAAATTTTGAACTTCAAAACACTTCACACGTGGCTTGTATATTCCTGTCGCTATAATGTATTGTCCATCCTTAGAAACTTTAATGTTACTACTAATTCCAGGCATATCAAAATCCTGGATAAGCTCAATACGTCGCCGTATATCTATATGTGTGGTAAGGTATTATTGAAATCATTTACACATTGCATAGGTACAAATGTATCTGGTATGTAAATTGACTTACCAACATTTTTTTTTAATAAATTTCGCCTTTTGCGTTCAGTTAACCACTGGTAAAATTACAAAAATGATAAAAATTAATAAAGTTGATAGAGATTGAAAAACAATAATAAATAAACATGTACCTCTGGAAGAGACTTTCCAGCGCTTAAATTATAAATTTTCACATTGTTGGGACAAGACACTTGCATCGTGACGACGAATGTTAGAAATTTTTAACAATATAACGAACGTATTACTCGCATCGCGCGAAAATAATAAACTGTTAACAGCAAAGCACGTGGAACGTTATTATCATAATAAGTAGCGACGTACGTACGTATTGTACATGTGTACGTGTTTAGACAATTTTTGTCCCTATCGAAGAGGTCGCCACAATTTAATTTACATAAATATTCGTAAACACGAAAATCACTAGAAGAAATACCCGAACAATAATTTAATGAAAATTCTAACAAGTTTTCGTGACTTCTAACTTGACGTTGCAAATATAATCGTTCGAAAATAAAAAAGAATACAGAACAAGCATTTTCAATGAAACTATACGCATATACACCTACAGTCTAGAACGAAAAAAGATCTGGTATCTTTAAAGTTGAATAGGTGGAAAAGTAGCGCATGTTCAACTGGCAACACCGGCTGAAGCAAAAACCAAAAATTCGATTAAAATAATGATTCGAATGAGAGAATCGATGCAACCGGTGTACCTAGCGAAATAATAGAAACGATCAACACCGTGTGCATCGTATTATACGCAAACTTTGAAAATGTAAAGAGGTTGTCGCAGGGGTTGGCAGCATTGGT